CAAACTGTCAGAACACTATCGGAGGCCTCATGAATGTTTGACATTTTGTTTGGTTTCAACATTCGATTTTGAAATTAAGTTTCTTGAGCAAAAAAAACACATTCACTGAATCTAGTTCACTCCAGAAAACATTTTTCCATCCTGTTGCTTTGTTTTATTTTTCATCACTGCGAAAACAATTGTCGGCTTGACCCCCATTGACTATTAGAAAATTGAACAGAAAACAAATTTGAATGCAATTCTATTGATGTATGGCCAGCTTTAGACCCAGTGCACTCAGTAATGTAAGAGAGCTGGTCAAACACACCCCTCTCTTCCTCTAAAAGTCTCTGTGATGTGGGGTGTGGCTGTTACTCAGCTCTGCCAGGACAGAGTAGAGTGAGGGCTGGAAGCAGCATTTTACCTCAGATATTTTCAAAGTAGTTCCCAGCAAAATTCAGTCACAAATCATAATGTGGGTTACAGGACTACTAAGCGGAAAGTTTTAGATTGTAAGTTGGGCTTTAAAGCAGAATTATAGTTGCATAGTTAGTCAGGTTGAAAAGAATAAATGTCCATAAAATTCAACCTATAGAGATATGAAAAGAAAAAAAAGAAAAGCCTAAACGGAACGCAATGCCCCCAATTACCCCCTGTTTTTCCAGAGGATCTTCCTTTTATAATGCAACCACTCTGAAATTGCAAGTTAAAAATCGTGCATGCAGATCTTAAACTTTTTGCCCTATCCATATTTTATATGTAATCATAATAACCCTTACAGGAAGTCCTCTGTACAACCTGTTTATTCTTTACTATGAACTGGAAATGTAATAGGGAGGTCTATTCCCATCCATATCTTTGCTGCTTTTTTTTTTTAAATTTGTTTGTTACTTGTACCAAATGCAGCTGCAAGAAGGCAGAACACAGTGTAGGAGTAACCACACTGTTCAGGGATGGTCTCTGTTTTTGGCTTTTTGTTTACACATGTGGGAGCATAATACCAGAGAGAGATGTGTGGGAAGCCTAGAACCTCTGAGCTGTGCAGCCAGTGAATATTCGTTCCTGCTACTATGCCTGCACAACAGCTGGAATCCCTATTGAAAACGTTTTGCTTGCATGCATGCTCTATTCTGAACATGCAATTTAATAATGTTTGCATTACACAAAAAAAACTTTAGTTCTTGAAACGCCTCCCGGCCGTTGTACAAAAGCGGCCAGCTGGGAGCTTCCTGGATGTCACCAGCCATCTAAAGACGGCCGGAGGGCCCTGCTCACTTAAGCAAGCGGGAAACTGCCCAAATGTAAAAACAGTCAGCAATGCCGATTTACTTACACGGGATCGGCTGGCTATAGAGTCGGCGGATCACTTGTATAAGGTGCCGATCGTGCAGCCCCCCTCCGCTGGTCCCGAGCTACTCTGTCCCCGATGCGTTCCCACGACCAGCATGGTTGCCCTGTGACTGGATCAGAGGGAGATCGGTACATGATCTCCCTCCGGTGTCCGAATGCGGAAGTGATGTATATTACATCACTTCCACATTCTTGTGTCACTCTCCAGCTTCAGAAGCTGATGAAGCAGATCTCTGCTTTATCGGCTTCTTTGGGGTTCCTTAGGTGACATTAGGGGTCTTGCAGACCCCTGATGTCTCCATAAAGTGGACATGTCACACCTCTTTGCTATCACATAGAGGATTTCTTAGCCCCCTGTCATGATAACGTTAATTGAGGGGGGAAAAATTAAAGTTGCAAAAAAAAAGCCACCCATACATGCCCGCATGCAAACATGCGTTGGGTGGGCATACGTGTGAAAATGACGATTGCGCCCATTACGGGGCACGTGTTGCATATCACTGCGAACATCTGTGATGAACGCAATTATTTTAGGGCCATCAGTCACCGATGACACTAAATTGATGAGCGGTAAAAGCTTTTAAAGCGTCGCCTATGGTAAATTCTGGGTATGGTAGCCTTTGCAATTTCTCCGGTGCGCACAATGTTTCCAAGCATAATGTAAAAAAAACGTTTTTCTTTTTTTTTTTTTTTCAAAGTTTTCAGTAATTTTTCCTTAATATAGTAGAAAATAAACCCCCTCTTCCCCCCCACAGTGGTGAATAAATACCACCAAAAGAAAGCTCTTATCTGTCCCCAAACAATTGTATAAAATTCATTTTCAATACAGCGTTGCATGACTGAATAAATGTCAGTCAAAGTACCGCAGCGCTGAATACTGAAAAATGGCCGGGACAGGAATGGGGTGTAAACACCTGGTCAGCAAGTGGTTAATGTTTAAAGAAGAACTCCCGGTTTTAGACAAAGTAACCCATGCAGTGGGGCTACCCCTGTACTGCAAGGGTTAACCGCTAGTTTTTCTTTATGGGCGAAAATAAAGGATATACTCACCTGATCCTTGGTCCTGAGGCAGTGACCCGCTCCAGCTGTAATACGGGTAAATGGTCTGTATTAAACGTCATGTCAGTGGTGCTTAGACTGCCGAAACCTGGGAAGAAGAGGCTCTGGGGACCCGTCTAGAGGCCATTTCTTCTTTATTGAGCCTCTAATGAAAAACGAACAGTTAACCCTTGCAGTGCAGTATCCCCACTGCAGGGGTTGACTTCATCTACAACTTAGTTCTTCTGTAAGGTTAGATGTTAGCATGAGGTTAGAGGCATTTTTTTAAATCTTTTCAGGAATTTATTGACATGCCAAAATATTGGATACAACAAAATGTGCTCCTGTAATTTTATTGGTGGCAAAACTTCAAGTCCCAAAACGTTTGCATCATTGAACTCCTGCTAATTTCCAGAATTTACAATGAAATAGAAGAAATCAATCAGTTATATTTCATTAGCATGTTACTTCGTGCAGTGCATACTTAGACTCTGTACTGTATATCTTGATATGATATGGGCACTTAGGGACCTGTATGGCCTCTTGATTTCATAATTGGAAACATTCAGAAATATATACTGTGTGTCTTAGTAAAAGGCCCCCCTTTTAATCTAGTAAAGCAGTAAAGTTTTTATTGGTTTATTCGGTTGTCTTTAACAGAAATGATGTAATCTATTGTCCATGCTACAGTATTTTTCATATGTGCTATAGTTGGGCATTGCAACAAAATGAAATCCGGAAAATCTGATTTTGTTTCTTTTGTAGGCATAAATTACCAGCAGCCGAACAGTAACCCTATTTAACATGCAAATGCTGTCTTTTTACCACCAAGCTTTTTTTAAATTATAAACGTTCACACTGTTATGCAAACCTAATATTAGAAAAAAAAAAAAGTTTTTCTTGAGATTGGTTTAAAGGACAGCTCCTTAAATTTGGCATGGGGGAAAGGATTAGCTGTCAAGTCTTTACTGCAATTGTCCTGAACGCTTCCCCACTTATTAGCCTCAATGTTTCATGTCCTAGTAACAGCATTGTCACTGATTCCCTAGCCACAATACACTAACGCTCTCCACAATCAATTTAGCAGGCCGCGGTTATTGCCCCAGTATGTCTTTAGGTAAAAGCTAAACTGTATAGAGAAAAACCAAAACACAACAAAAAAGTATGCTTACTTTGCATAGATAGTCCATACCCAGGATAGCAATGTTGAAAAGGTAAAAATTTTAACGTGGGTATATAAGTACCTACAGGAGGTTTAGACACACTGCAAAACAACTGGTCAGACCACTACGCACTATGGAGGGGGGTACTTCCTGGGCTTTTAAACACCAGGCTTCAGTTTCCCCAGGTTTGGAAAGTTACCACCTGGTCCTAAACCTATACCTTTACAAAATTATATGGGGTGGTTGCGTTTTCATCGGTGGATGCTAGTTTTGGAAATAAGGTTCTGCAGGCACTCACTTTGTTTCTCTTTGTTCATTTGAAGGACTTGCTCCCCTTTTTTCTTCTGTTGAGTATCCTTGCTCATTGCTCCATTTGGGAATCATATGTTAACTTTCCACACATTGAAATTTGAAAGAATAGCTTGTCCTCCTATGAACTCTGGAGTAAATGGGATGTTGTACTTTTCTTTCTCATTTATTGAGGAACACGAAATCTTAAACCTTTATTTACAGTGCTGCCTACAGGAGGATTAGAGATGCAATCCTTTTCTCCACTAGTGCATTGGAGGACACAGTTCCCTTTCTTCTTGGGTTCTTTTGTACCGTGGCCTGTTGCCACTGTTAAATTATAATTTTCTCTGTGAAATTTTCCCCCTTCTGTTTACTGCTTGCTACAGCTGAGCTCTTAAGCAGGTGTAGAGGTACAGTGTCTACAGGGAGCTAGCCTCTTTTGGTTTGCATTGTGTCCAAACCCCATGTAGGCAGCAGAATACACACACATAGAATTCTAGAATCATTTTGTCCTCCTACAAATTACTGGGGAGAAGGATTTTACAGTGAGCAAAAAGAGTAAAACCCTCTAACAAAAAATATTCTAGGTAGTGGAAATCGGTTATTAATATATCTGGTTTCAAAAATCAGGGTGAGCATAAGGAATTTCAGTGATAAACATCAGCACTTAGTCGACATGTTTATGTAGGAAGCCATATTGCCATTTTACACTGTAAACATGGAGAGATTTTGTTGGCAATGCCTGCTATAAGAAATAGTCTGTCTAGTAAAATATTTCACCTGAAACAAGATCTCGGTCTGTGCCCTATCATGTCTGGATTTAATATAACCAAATTATATCCATTTTAACATCAGCATCACCTTGTATTACATATATGATGCATGCCCTTACTGCCACAGCTGCATTACTTCATGTAGGTTTTTGGGCAAGTTCTCATTTTCATTCCGATCTGTGTCCTAGTGTATGTGAACTTATTTCTTTCAGTTATTTCTTTGTTTTTTTTACTTTTACTATTTTGAAAAATACTCCCTTTTTAATCCAAAACCCCTGTTGCAATCGGTTGACGAATTGAAACAGATTAAATTTAAACCTAAATCTTAAAAAAAAAAAAAAAAATTAATGGAAACTTTTTTCTTTTTTTTTTCCCCTCCCCCTTTCATTTTGGATAAATCTCCCAGACCACAGCAATTCAATAGAAAGTATAAATATGAAGGAATGGCAGGATGGTCTTAGGGCCCTCCTGCCCAACATAAACATCAACTTTGGTGGTCTCCCCAATGCTTCTTCCCCTTCCAACGCCACCCACAGTGCACCAACGTCCAACACTGCCACAACCAACAGCCGGAACTGGGACTGCCCGGCCAGCTGGATGGATCCCGCTATCATTACAGGTAACTGCTTCTCCCTCCTCCCCTTCCCGCATGTCCTTCTAAGATTGACACACACCCCTCTGCCCAGACAGCTACAAGACGGCCATTTAATCAGCATCTGCAACCAAGCCCATAATTCCTTTTTTAGGTTTTGGTTGCAGTGGCAGAGGGACAATTCTGAGGGAATCGTTCTGATTTTATAGAGATTTAATTCTAATTTGGTTCTTTTTGTGTAATTTTGTACAATCACTGGGTAGCATAATGAAGCATCAGTATTTGCCCCAATGAGGCTGGAAAATTGATTTTGTGATCTGTGTAGCAATACTCCACATTTGTTCAGAATGGGATAGACTGCATGGTTTTAATATCCTTGAACAAACATGAAACTGAATCCAACATGTATTAGAAATTGTACATTTTCCATGAAAGTAGATCTAAAAATAAGTGCATATAAGCTGCAATATGTTGAAGTAATTCCAATAATTTGTTATTTCAAATCTACAAACGTTCATTAAAATGCCTGGTGATCCATGTTCAGCCATTTTGTATTATAGGTTAATACTTGTGTCCTAGTTCTCTAGCATTGTCAGCTTATCACATGCACCATGGTGGAGACCATTAGTCCTGTGCTGTCACATTGTGCCGGCATGGTCCACTGTTCTGGATCAGCTTCCTGATGCAAAAAAAGATGTCTAGCGGACAGTGGAGCAAGTAAATGTGATTAGGCAGTGGCTGAAATAGGCTGGAGAAGATCAGTAGCTCTACGATGGGGAAAAATTATGTGAAAACAGTATTTTCCAGGAAATACCATCTTTGGATACAGAAGGCAAACTAAATGTAATTCTATTTGGCATTTAGATCTACTCTGACTTCTATTTTCTCTGTCTGTACAGTGCATTCAGAAAGTATTTATGCCCCCTTCACTTTTCCAATTTTGGTATGTTGCAGCCTGATACTACAGATGATTAAATTCTTTTTTTTTTTCTCATTAATCTACACTCAGTACCCCATAATGACAAAGTGAAAACAGAATTTTAGAAATGTTTGCAAATGTATGAAAACGAAAAAATTGAAATATCACATTGACAGAAGTATTCAGACCCTTTGCAACAACACTCCAAATTTAGGTCAGGTGCCTCCCAATTCTCTTGATCATTGCCAAGATGTTTCTACACCTTGATAGAGTCCGCCTGTGGTAAATTAAATTGATTGGACGTGTTTTGGAAAGGCACACACCTCTCTGTAGAAGGCCTCACAGCTGACAATGCATACTGTATCAGAGCAAAAGTCATGAGGTCACATGAACTGCCTGCAGAGCTCGGAGACAGGATTATTGCAAGCCCCAGATCTGGGGAAGGCTACAAAAAAAATTCTGCTGCACTGAATGTTCCCAAGAGCACAGTGGCCTCCATAAATCTCAAAAGGAAGTTTGGCACAACCAGGACTCTTCTAAAAGCTAGTCGTTTGGCAAAACGGAGCAATAGAGGGAGAAGGGCCTTAGTAAGAGAGGTGACCAAGAACTCTGAGCTTCAGAGATCCTGTGTGGAGGTGGGACAAAGTTCCAGAAAGACAACCATCACTGCAGCCCTCCACTGATCTGCCTTTCCTCAGTGCAAAACACCTGAAAGCCCACTTGGAGTTTGCAAAAAAGCACCTGAAGGAACAAGATTCTCTGGTCTGATAAAACTAAGATTGAACAGTTTGGCCTCAATTCTAAATGTTATGTCTGGAGGAAACCGGGCAATGCTCATCACCTGCCCAATACCAACCCAACAGTGAAGCATGATGGTGGCAGCATTATGCTGTGGGGGGTGTTTTTTTCAGCAGCAGAGACTGGAATGCTCCATTCAGCTTTCCCTAAACCAGTAAGGTACAGAGATCCTCAGTTAAAACCTGTTCCTCAGGACCTCAGACTGGGCCGAAGGTTCACCTTCCAAAATGACAACGATCCCAAGCACACAGCCAAGACAACACAGGAGTGGCTTAGGGACAACTCTGTGAATGTCCTAGAGTGACCCAGCCAGAGCCTTGACTTGAGCCCTGTGCTTGAGAGGATTTGCAAAGAAGAATGGCAGAAAATCCCCCAATGCAGGTGTGCAAAGCTTGTCGCGTCATACCCAAAAACACTTGGGGCTGTAATTGTTGCCAAAGGTGCTTCAACAAAGTATTGGGTTAGGGGTCAACCTGATTATCGAATCTACCGATAATTACGTATTTTCGAATTATCAGTATCTGTCAAAGTGTTCAATATTACCGTCGATAATAACTGCATATTTTTAGCCAGTTGTTGAGGATCCGAACGAAATTTGCACAGTGGGTGCCCCTCTCTGGCTGGCATCCCTCGTTCAGTAGCCAATAGGAGCCCAGCTATTTATTCCCATGCTATCTGTTGTTTTTTTTCTTTACTCTGACCACGGCCACTGTCGGAATACACAAAAAAAACAGGGACTAGGCTGAAATAGGGCGACTGCCTGCTGTTTACATTCAGCTGCTGGCAATAAGCTGGATGTAAACAGAATATCGCTACCTGATATCGGTTATCGGCCTGAAAGGTGGCCAATAATTGGTATCGGTATGGAAAAATCAATTTCAGTCGATCCCTAGTCTGAATACTTAAGTACATGTGATATTTACATTTTTTATTTTTAATAAAAATTTACATTTCTAAAATTCTGTTTTCAATTTGCCATTATGGGGTACTGAGTGTAGATTAATGAGAGGGGAAAAATGAATTTAAACACCTTGTAGTATCAGGCTGCAACTGAAAAAAGTGAAGGGCGTCTGACTACTTTCTGAATGCACTGTGTGTTGTGCTGAAGACATGCCTGCCAGGTGATATAGCAAAGCTTGCGTGACCATCTTCCTCCACTGCATTTAAGCAGTACTGCTTGGTCATCAGTCTGCACGTGTTGCTCTCCTTCTGTTGACAGCACTGTGCAGTGCAATAAAACTGATTTTGTAGTGCTTTCATTCAACTGTGCAAAGGATTAAATGAAACCACTAGAGGAGAGATTAAGATACCAAAACTAGCTGTAAATTGTATTAAACAAAATGCTTAACCAGGTTAAATTGTGTATTTTTATTAATCTGTTGGGAGTTGGCCTTTTACTGTTGGTTTTTCTTGGGGGGAGGGGGGAAACTTCCAAAAAAATTACAGTAATTGATCTGAATTCTGTTGCTTAAGCTATTTCTTCATATGATCAGCTTAATTAGCTACATGAAGAAGTAATGATCTACTTCCTTAATTGTTTTCTTCAAAAAATTCTGTTTATAAATTCTGTTGTCATTTGCTCTGCAGCCTTCTAATGGTTCACACTCAGCTGGTTCTGAAACCATGATTTAGATAAAAATTAATTTTCTCCACCCTGTTCTTTACTCCTGTTGCATTCTCCATATTTTAAAATAAAGATCCAACAGGTAGAGTAAGAACTCCTCATAGTAGCCATAGCAGGTGTGCTCGCCCAGTAAGGAAAAAGAAAAAGGAAATGTTGTGTGCCTTAACTCTCCATCTACCACAAACTGAAATGGGGTGATCCTTTGGTTCCCGCGGGGGGGGGTTCAGTCACACAGGCTGGGCATCTTATTCAGATATATAGATACCTGAACTCCATTTTGGATGGTATATTTCCAGTAAAATGTACTGTTAATGCTACAGAATATGAAGATATTTTTTGACAATTGTTTGCTACCAGCATTGTGGTGGGTAACAGTTTGGGGAATGCCCATTTCTGTCCCTACATGACTGCTGCTGGGCACAAAGCCAATTCCATAAATACATGGTTTGACCACTTTCGTGTAGAGCAAATGGAGTGGCTGGCAGAGCTGTGACCTCAATCCTAATGAACATTGTTGGGATGAATTAGAATGCCAGTTGCAAATGATGTCTTCTTGTCCAACATCAATACTTAACCTCACAAATGCGGTCTTGGTTGAAGACCAAGACATATTGCAAAATCTTGTGGAAAATCTACGAATTGTGGAAGCAAAACTCCGTATTAATGTCCACAATTTTGAAATAAGATGTCTAACAAGCTTCTATCAATGTGAGGCTTACATGTTCTCAAACCTTTGGCCATATAGTGTAGCATACCTCCTTTACTAAGCTGCACAACTTGAATAGAATAAGAAATGTTTGCTGCTATTAAGTAGCCCAGAAAAGCAGTGTTCAAACAGAAGACAGATGATCACCAGCACACTCTATAGAGGAACTTCTTTTTCCTCTTGCTATATTTAATGGTCACATAACACAAGAACAAGGTTTCAGGGTCATACAGGACCCCTTTATCAGGTAGACACAGTGATAACACTTGTATACACATCACCCAGTGCACCCTGCAGCCCTAATGACGTCACCCCCAGCACGAATTCAAAAATATACCATCAAAATGCAGAAGAACCGAATCCACAATGGCAACCAAGATGCTGGGAGGCAGGTTTACCTTACCCACACATTCACAGTCTGTGCACAGATCCCCATGGCTGGGGATGGATTCTGATGTACCGTCCCACTCTCTCCCTGGGTTGCTGTGCCAACGAGGAATGCCATGTATCCAGTATAACTGATGGCGGTCCCTCGTTCTACATGATTTCAAGTGACACTTTACATTTCTTTAGTTTGTTTTAGTGTCGCATACTTGGGATTGTGTATACATTTCATGGATGGTATTGTGGATTTGTTTCTTATGCATTTTAATGGTATATTTTTTTAATCGTGGCGGGAGCTAATGTCATTGACGTCATTAGGGCTCTTGGGTGAACTGGGTGATTGTGTACTGCATATAAGTGTTATCCATTTTGATCTTATTGTCACTGTGTCTACCTGATGAAGGGGCGCTGCATGACCCCGAAATTGTTTTTCTTGTGACAGTTTAATAAAGCAAGAGAAAAAGAAGCTTGTCTACAGTGTGTGCTGGTGATCAGCCTATCTTCTGTTTGAAGTTCTGCACGGCGCCAACCATGGTATCACTGCGAGCACCACCATGTTCACAGTTCTCAATGCTGTATGGAGTGCAGGTGATTATTGGCACCACAGAAAACCACAATTTCTCACAATTTTAGGTGATGCTCTAAACCTTGTGTGACTTGCAGGGATGTTTTGAATCACTTATTACACTGGGATATCTTCTAACCCTTTGAAAGGTTTAGAAGGATTTTATTGCTGCCTGTCTCACCTCTGTTTGCCTTGGTGGCTATTGTCCATGGGAAAGTGATGCGAAACACACACCTAGTCAGTGGAACAGGAATAGAGTGGATATCTCCTAGTAAGGTCAACTGTTATACAGGCAACTGTCTAAGAGGGGAATTATCATACTCTGTTGTGTCTCCAGCACAAGAAGTGAAAGGAAATGTAATAGGACACTATTTCAAAATTGCTGAAAGCCAGGTATACATACTTCAATATCCGGCTAGTTCTTGATGAACCAGCTGAAATGCGGCTGTCGGCATCTCTCCGACCAGCATCTCTCAATCAGCTGATCGAGGGAGCATGTTGGAAAGTTGGCTAGCAGCCATTGACCTGGTGGCCGCTTTAGATAGGCTTACAGCTGACTGATCTTTCTGACAGCCAGGAAACATGCAACTTATGAAGGTCAGATGAAGGCACTTTTGGCATTTCTCTTATGACAGGTTCTGTTTTAAAATATGGCTTATAATGTAGACTTTTTAGCCTGTGAATTTAGTAGTAAACCGTACATTCATCTGTTTACGACATTACTGTTTTCTCTTTTCCAGGCATCCCGTCATCCACAGGAAATGGTTTAGAACCTCTGCAAGATGACAATCCACCACACTGGTTAAAGTCCCTGCAAGCTCTGACAGAGTTGGACGGCCCCAGTAGCAGTATACCTCCCCACCACCCTCATAACAACCTCTTCAGCACACAGATCCCCCTACACAGAGCAAATTGGAGCCCATACCCTCCCCCCACAAACCCTGCCAGTTTCCACTCTCCACCCCCAGGTTTTCAGACCGCCTTCAGACCCCCTACCAAAACACCTACAGATCTACTACAGAGCTCCACCCTGGACCGTCATTGAGAAATAAAGTATATGGGACTGCTAGAATTTGGGAATTCCTTTCCCCCCTCTCAACAACCCAGTTTCAGTCAAAATGAAACCCTCAGTGTTTCCCCCTCATATAATTCTCCTCTAACAGTTTCCAGAATTATCAAGAATCTTCATTTAGGGGATCACCAACCCCTTCTCCCTCCCCCAAAAAGTTGGCGTTTGAGAGTCTGTCATCATTATGAAGCTTGTTATTAAAGGTGGCCAACATCAAAGAGCACCACAAGTTTCCTAAAGAAATTTGAGATGGAAATTCAAAGAAATTTTTTTGTTTAAAAAAAAAATTGCTATAAAAAAAGATCATTGGTCTGCTGCATGATATATATTTTTGTTAAATTTAATAAATGTGAATTAACAGCTCTCAGATCTAGCTAGTGCAAATAGCAGGAAACATAATCTTAAAATCTTTAGGGGAGTAGTATTCTAACATGATCAGTAAGTAACTACTTGTTTTTTCTTATCGAAGAGCGCCATTAGAATGAAATGCCATTCGTTTCATTGAGAGTTTTTGTAATTCTTTAAACAGTTCGAGGGCTGGCAAACAACCATTTCATTCCTCGTTTTCTTCAGGACCAAAGGGTCAGGATTTATCCACCTTGATTTTCAGGCCCTCTGGAATTAAAGGAGTTTGGGTGAAATGAATAAGTAAAATTGTCTTACTCATTGCCAATTGTTTTTTTTTTCTCGTTTGCCATTTGTCAGCAGTACTTTCAAAGTTCAGTACAGCAGGCTTTTTCAACTGCTTATGACATGATTAAGCCATGAATTTTTCAGATGAAATAACCATCCACTGATTCTTAGTCAACCAATCTCTCTGTGATTTTTTTTTTTTTGGTTTTTTTAATTCATTCGAGACCTGGAAAGGTGTTGGTGTAACTGCTTCCTGTTGTTGAGTCGCACTCTGTCATCGTCAGCCGTGAAGATCCAAACAGTTTAATCATCATGAATAATCTACCTTACCAGACCCGTGTTTCATTTGCAAAATCAGGCAGTCTTTGCACTTACACGGATATGTTGCCTTTTGCTTAAATTGGCACACGTGTCTAGGTATTAGGAAGAGACGGTTGTGTTTTCTGGGAGGGAGGGGGGGTTCAGTGCTCTTTCTGCAGCAGATCAATCAGTTTTGCTTTTTCTAAACGTGACCAGGAGATCACAAACCCAACAGCTTTTCCATATCACTGTTTTCAAAGTCGCACACAGGAGTTTGACCAGCCACTTGGCTTATTGACCTAACTTCACTATTTCTGGAAGTTCTACATCAGTATTGAAGATCGGGAAGAGGAGAAGCCTACAAGCGGGGGGGAAATAAGACAAATTAAAACATGGTTATAACCTGACGCTAAAACTAAACCAAGAAAATGTACCTCTGTCTTCAGAATTAAAACTAAAATCTTAAATAAAACAGAAAACTTGATGATAGCTTGTTTTGTTGGCCTTGCTTTGTGTGCAGATGTGGATTGTGGATGTCACCATTGGCAAGCTTTGTAAGTCAGCCATTGCACACTTATGTCTCAGCGGATTGTCTAAAATTTTTGTTGTATACTGGTGTTACCCAAACCGTAGTTATGTTGCACTGCCCTGACCTTTAGGCCCCGTTCACATTGAGCGATTTATCGCGCGGTAATTCCCGCGATATCGCAGCAATTTACCGCGCAATATCGTTCTCGTATGCTTCTCAATGGGGCAAAGGGTCCTGCTGTCGCGGGTCGTGTGTCGCTAGCAAGCATTTGCGCGATATCGCGCAAAATGCAAATCGTGCGACAAACGCTCAAATCGTGCTCAATGGGAACGGGGCCTCAGGGTGTGTAAAAACTTCCTGTAATTGTATAGATTAGAATTCTGATGGCCTATCACCGGTCTGCTTTGTGGCACCTATATGGTTATGTTTCAGCTGTACTTGCTGTCTAAATCTCTCCTTCCAAGAACATTGGTATTGATAACATTATCTGCCTTCCCTTTTTTTTTGAAAGATTCATTATGTATTCAAGTTACTGGTCCAGTCTACAGTATACATTTCTATGGACCTTTTATAGTGGTTGGTAGGTGTCATTAAAGGGACAATATTTTTACTGTGACAGCTACCAGACAGCAGAGGGATCACTAATATTTAAAGTGAAACTCCAGGCAAGCATTAAAGTGTATTTAAAATAAAACATTTAATATATTGCAGTAACACTTTCTGTCCTAGCTTTACAACACTCACTGTACTGTTTCTTTGGAGGAGCAGCTTTAGGGTTGCACAGATACCAAGTACAGTACTCGGTACAAGTACGAGTACATGTACCGATACTTTTGAGCTCCAAGACTAGACTAGAGAAAAATTAAAAAAATTAGGAGGCCGCTGTCATTTGTAAGGAGCACACGGAGCTCGTGGGATTTGTACATCTGTTTTAATGTATGATTTTGTTTTTATAAATAAAGGGATGCACAGATACCAGTTTACTAGAGAAAAATTAAAAAAATTAGGAGGCCGCTGTCATTTGTAAGGAGCACACGGAGCTCGTGGGATTTGTACATCTGTTTTAATGTATGATTTTGTTTTTATAAATATAAATAAAGGGATGCACAGATACCAGTTTTGCGAGTACGAGTACTGGTACTTGCCGAGTACTTACAAGTACGAGTACTGATACATTTGTGTTTATTGTCATGTGACAGTTTTTCTAAAACAATACAGACTAATGATTTCAGGACAGTGGGGGAGCGCCGGAGCCAGGTCCCAGCTGCAACCCTGGTTGTTCTCATGAAAATGCCAAGTATCAGCACTGGTACTCAAAGTATCTGTGCAACCCTAGTTATTACCCTATTACAGGATTATAGAGCACCTCATCTCCATAACACAGGGAAGGTGTTCTGTATTACGCAGTATTGAACTGAGCAGTGCTAACTACAATGCTTGAAATAAGACTGAAGTGCGAATAGGACACAGTGACAGGTCTGGATTTCTGGCAGGATCAACTGGTATTTTACTTTCAAATCTATTAATGGGACGCGGAAGTCATATTCTCTCAGGTTATGCTGCTGCTGCCTACAGGAGGAATGAACAATAGGAAACAAAATATTTATAGGCCGGTCCAGGATCTACCCATCATGCCTCAAATGTTTGTTTTAGGAGTAGGAGTAATAATGTCTTGGCTCTGCTCAAACAAATCTTTTGCTAGCTTTTTCTTTTCAGACTATATTCCTCGCTACTTTACAGGTCTCTTTATGGCAGCTGTCTAGATTAGCAAGCCCTCCCCCCCCCCAGCTTAGATATTCAGTGCTATATCAAGACTTTCGGGCACTGGGTTCCACTTTAGTTGCATTCCATTTTCACGCTGGTACCAAGTTGGCTGCGAAGCACTTTTGAGCTCCAGTGTTGGCATTGCCTCAGCACTTGCCCTGTCTCAGACTTACTTGTGGGTAGGCTGATTGGAATGAGCACCCAGAGCCTACCTAGATATTTGCACTACTAGACACCTTTATTCATTTCCTGCAACCACCATGTTTCACCATAGAAGTGGTAACACTGAGACATTGTGCACGGAAGTCAACTGCTGTCACTCGCGCCCTGGTCTCTTTCTCACCACTCAGTGTCAAAACATAGTCCTGCTGCTCCTGCGTTGCAAGAGAAACACATGGAACTCAATCTGCATTATGTTCCTACTGTCCACCTACTGTGACTTTGGTCATCACTGGCCTCCAGACTTTTTGTTGGCCACAGGCTGCCTGGGTTTGTGACTGGAGTACTTGAGGCCTTGCCTCATACCCTGAGCTTGGTTGCGCTATCGCCACACAGTTGTAACATGTTTAAATCCTTCTGTAACAGGTGGCCCCAGCTCAAATTCTTCTAGCCATTCAGAAGGTACATCTAGAATACAGTAAACCTATGGTTATGTATACCTCAGTCCCCACACTAAGGACATTTTTTTGGGCATGGAGGAGAGGATCTCACACACCCAGGTGTGTTTCATACCCTGCATTATAGGTGAAAGATGTTGGAGGGCCCCATGTCTCACTGGGCTGTTTACAGGCAGAACAACCTAATCTGCTGCTGGTATTCTGTCAGGACCATGGAATGCCTTAAGAACTCCATGGGACCTGTGCGCTTAGGGTTAGGCCCCTCTTCCTTGGCCAGTCTGCATATTTTTGAAGGACCTTCTAGCACTTGTCCCTGTTCTGGATTCACTTGGGCGAATGTTCTTCGATGTCCTGATCAGTCTCCTGTCCATTGTTCCGGACGTGCTGCTGCTTCATTGGTTCTGGGGAGTCTGGCGCATTCTTGGTCCTTTTTGACTCTTGGTGTCAAGGGTAGGTAGGGTTGCTTTTCAGCAAGATTCCTCTTGGGGAACACCCAGAGGTGTTTTTTGCATAATGGTGAGTGTACCCAGCTTTTTTTTTTTTTTCCCCTCTCCTCCATCAGGGTGGTAACCCATCTCACCTGTCCTGGTTGCACTAACTTTAAAGGATCAAAACCTGGCTTTTCAGCTGGACCTGGGAGGAATTTTCCAGTCTATTCCATGTTTCTCTGTGGTGAGCCTCACCTCAGAGAGGTGATTGTCTGTCCATTCTGACAATCTCTTGAAGTACAAAGTTTTTCTTTTGAACCTTGTGGAGTCAGGTGAGTAGAGTTTTAGGGCCTTCCTACTCAGACCTGCTAGTCTTGCCCTTACAAGGTACTTCCTTGTTAACAGTGTTGGTTTTCTTTTAATAGGAATTTTATTGTAGCATCCCTTGGTGTCAGCACTCCTGACACTTACTGAAAGCAAAGCATACAGAGCACAGTGGGTCTGATGTGCGTAACTAAAAACTGTGTGCAGCAGTCTGCAGGATGTGATTTACAGCATGAAACCAATGGTCTGGAGTATAGCTGGTCATACACTGCTCAAATTTCATCAGAAAGACTAATCTGAAATTCAAGCAGTGTTTAGAGCTGCCGGAACCACCAAAAGTCGATTTTATTCAATCAACAATCCTGGTGGAAAATTGTTGGCCGAACATTGACTGCAGCCAATTGGCTTCAAGGGAGATTCGTCCATCTATACAGTTTTTTTTTTTTGTTTTTTTATCCCTAGCATGTATGACCACTTTTTTATGTGTAGGATAATGTACTGTATGTTGTACGGAGTGCAGCAGATTATAGTAATACACTTTTTCTAATATGTAACAGGATTCCCAATGTATTTCGTGTTAGCTGAAGAGAGCGCAGAGCAATTTGTTTTTCTTGTGACACAAAAAGTAAATCATACCAAAACAC